TCAGCCCCACACATCTATGGGGCACTGTGGGGGCACTATGGGTCAGCCCCACACATCTATGGGGCGCTGTGGCTCAGTACCCGCACGCGGTTGATGGCGCCGTAGTGGGGGATGATGGCGAGGTGCAGCTGGGGGCTCCGCTCTTCATCCTCCTCCTCCTCCTCGCTGCTGTCGTCGCTGTCGCTGTCGGCGCTGTCGGCCCCACGGCGCCGCGGCCCATGGAGGTTCTGCATCTTCAGCACCATCAGCCTGCGGGAAAGCGTGGGTCTGGCCCCATAGATCTGTGGGTCTGCCCCATAGATCTGTGGGTCTGCCCCATGGATCTGTGAGTCTGGCCCCATGGGTCTGTGGCTCTGGCCCCATGGATCTGTGAGTCTGGCCCCATGGGTCTGTGGCTCTGGCCCCATGGATCTGTGGGTCTGGCCCCATAGATCTGTGGGTCTGGCCCCATGGATCTGTGGGTCTGGCCCCATAGATCTGTGGGTCTGGCCCCATGGGTCTGTGGCTCTGGCCCCATGGATCTGTGGGTCTGGCCCCATAGATCTGTGGGTCTGGCCCCATGGATCTGTGAGTCTGGCCCCATGGATCTGTGAGTCTGGCCCCACCTACGGGTCCTGCCCCACACATCTATGGGGTCCCATGGCTCCCTGCCCCACACATCCATAGGGCCTGCCCCACACATACATGGGTCCCACCCCCACCTATGGGTCCTGCCCCACATCCATGGGTCACAGATGCCCCACAGATCCCACGGTTCCCTGCACCACATCCATGGGTCCCAATCCCCATCAATGGGTCCTGCCCTACAGATCCATGGGGCCCCACGGTTCCCTGCCCCACACATCCATGGGTCCCAGCCCCCCCCATGTGTCCCGCCCCACACATCTATGGGGTCCCACGGCTCCCTGCCCCACACATCCATGGGTCCCAGCCCCACCCATGGGTCCCATCCCACACATCTATGGGGTCCCACGGCTCCCTGCCCCACACATCCATGGGTCCCAGCCCCACCCATGGGTCCCATCCCACACATCTATGGGGCCCCACAGCTCCCTGCCCCACACATCCATGGGTCCCAGCCCCCCCCATGTGTCCCGCCCCACACATCTATGGGGCCCCACGGCTCCCTGCCCCACACATCCATGGGTCCCAGCCCCCACCTATGGGTCCCACCCCACACATCTATGGGGCCCCACGGCTCCCTGCCCCACACATCCACGGGTCCCAGCCCCACCTATGGGTCCTGCCCCACACATCTATGGGGCGCCCCACCTGTTGCCCTGCGCCGTGGCTGCCTGAGTCCCAGCACAGAGCAGCACCGACAGCGGCAGCGTCTCACGGTCGTCCCCCAAATCGTCCCTCACAACGTCCAGGCTGAGGCACGGGGCTCCTGTGGGGCAGCCCCATAGCGCCCCATAAGTGACCCACAGAGCCCCATAAGCGACCCACAGCGTTCTGTAGTGCCTCACAGCGCCCCATAAGTAACTCAGGTGCCCCACAGGATCCCCTAACAGCCCCACTGAGCCCCACAACTGCCCCACTGATCTCCATGGAGCCCCACAAAAACCCTATAAAGCGCCATAACTGCCCCATAGAGCCCCATAACCACCCCATAGAGACCCACAGTAAGCCATAGAGCTTCATAGTGACCCATAACCGCCCCATAGAGCCCCATAACCGCCCCATAGAGCCCCATAACCGCCCCATAGGGCCCTATAACCACTCCATAACCACCCTATAGAACCCCAGAACCACCCCATAAAGCCCCATAATGACCCACACCGCCCCATAGAGCCCCATAATGACCCACAACCGCCCCATAGAGCCCCATTACCGCCCCATAGAGCCCCCATAATGACCCAGAACAGCCCCAAAGCGCCTCATAGAGCCCATAACCGCCCCACGGAGCCCCACAATGGCGCCCAACCGCCCCATAGAGCCCCATTACTGCCCCATAGCCGCTCCATAAAGCCCCATAGCGGCCTCACAGAGCCCCATTACCGCCCATAGCCGCCCAATAAGAGCCGCCCCACATCGCCCCCCGGCCGTACCGGTGCCCGCGTGGTGCAGCAGCCGATAGGCGGAGGTGTCCACCACCATTTCTTCGCCGGGACCGGGCGGGGGGGCGCGACCGGGGATGTAAACCCGCCCCTCCCCCTCTCCGGTCCTCTCCGCCCCCCTCCGCGCTGGCCCCGCCCTCTGGCCCCGCCCCCTCCGCCGTTCCCGGGAGCTCCGGAGCCGCGTGGCCCCAGAGCCGCCGCTGCGCGCTGCCATTTTTTGCCACTTCCGGCGCTGTGCGACCAACTTCCGGACACGTGCCGCACGATTCCGCTCTTTCTTCAGATGCATTTCCGGTCCTTCACCGGACACACTTCCGGTTCTGCTGCAGACGCTCTTTTAGTTCTCCTTTAGAGGTACTTCCGGTTCCGCTCTACGTACTTCCGCCCTCTTGCCCCTCCGCTTCCGACCCCGCCGCCATTTTGTCGCCGCCGTTGCCATAGCGACGGGGACGCGCCTGCAGTCAACCCCCCCCCCCCCGCGCTCATTAAGACTTTAATTAGCGCGTAATGAACACCGCGATGAGCTACAAAAGCTTTAATTGAGGACGAGACAGCGTCGCACGGGGACACGAGGGGAGGAAACGGGATAAAAAGGGACAAAAATGGAGGCGGGGGGGGGTGAAACATCGGGGACGCGTTGGGGACATTTGGGGACACGGAGGACATTTTGGGCTCACAGTGGCGGTGGCTGCGGTCGCTCACAGTTTTGATTTCCGGCCCCCAAAAATGGCCCGAATTTGGGTCAAAATGGAGACGGGGTCACAGTGACAAAGTGGGGAGGGGGGGGG